CTTAGCCAATGGCAAATAGAATTTATTAAACCAGATAAGCGGTTTTACAAATTTAGCCTGTTCTGATATACAGGCCGATTATATTATTCCGTGTTCTGAGAAGCTAAAGATTAATAAGGCCTCGTCCACACTAAGCCGGAGGAATATGAAAACGCAACAATCATTGGTCATTTTGGATTTGTGCACTTTGGATTTCGATCAAGGAAATGACATTTCGAAACGCTTCGTTTTCAAAATGTTTCCCGTCCACACGAAAACGAAAAGCCGACGTTTTCAGATTCCTCCGGTTTGAAAAGCGTTTTCGAAAAGCTCCGTTTTCGTGACAGATTAGTGTGGACGGTAGGCCTGACCGTAGAAATAAATCTGCGTTTTTAAATTTTTTCGGGCATAGTGTGGACGGGATCTGAGCTGAACAGCTTGAGTTCCTCAGCAGCAGGTCTTAATTGTTCAATATAATGGCTGGATAATGCTATTCACCGGATAAAACACTATCCAGTGACGTGGATAGCGCAGTTTGTTTTGTCATCACTAATCTACTGGGCCGGATTGTTCAAAGGCCGATTAAGCTAACCCAGGTTAAGCGAGAATTTTGATTTTACTTTGTAACTTTGCGGTGAGATTTTCTGTTTTTATTGTTTGGCCTTCTGTTTTGAGTTTGAATAATCTCAAAATACACAAAACATGAGCAATGAAAAACATTTGTAAACAAGAAAATTATACGGTTTATACCGTTAACCGCCTTCCGAACAACCCGGCCCTGGATGGTGATTAAACCGTGTATTATTCAACCTTTGAAGAACTAACCCAACTGTTCCTGACGGCTTTTGGAAATGAATCAAAATTTCGCAACAACTAGTTTCTCCTCTGTGTTCACAGTTTCTTACATATTGCGTATTTAAGCCGCTATGCTGGACGAATAGGGTAAACACATGTTATCGAGGCGTCATCGTTTTCGAAAAGCTGCGGTTACAAAGTGTTTTCTGTTCAAATTTCTCCGGTTTGATGAGCGTTTTCAAAAAGCTTAGTTTTCGGTGGACAATTTCTCCAGTAGTGTGGACGGTAGTCCTCAGTGACGGATCCAGACTTTAGGCTAAGTGGGCGGGGGGGNATGAAAACGCAACAATCATTGGTCATTTTGGATTTGTGCACTTTGGATTTCGATCAAGGAAATGACATTTCGAAACGCTTCGTTTTCAAAATGTTTCCCGTCCACACGAAAACGAAAAGCTGACGTTTTCAGATTCCTCCGGTTTCAAGAGCGTTTTCGAAAAGCTCCGTTTTCGTGACAGATTAGTGTGGATGGTAGGCCTGACTGTAGAAATAAATCTGCGTTTTTAAATTTTTTCGGGCGTAGTGTGGAGGGGATCTGAGATGAGCAGCTTGAGTTCCTCAGCAGCAGGTCTTAATTGTTCAATATAATGGCTGGATAATGTTATTCACCGGATAAAGCACTATCCAGTGGCGTGGATAGCGCAGTTTGTTTTGTCATCTCTAATCTACTGGGCCGGGTTGTTCAAAGCTCGATTAAGGTTACAGTATACCTTCAGGGGTGTCTCGTGCGCAAGCGATGTAGCGCGTGCAGTTTAAGCTGT